GGGTAATTTGGGGTTGAAAGGGTTAGAGGTGGGTTTAGGTGTCTAGGGTATATACCCCTGAGCAGTAGGGTTTAAAGTCTAGGGTTTGGTTTAAGGTTTAGTATTTGTGGTTTAGGAAATTCTGGGGCTTCAGGGTTTGAGGCTTTAGAGCTTCAGGTGTTTGCGGGTTTCGGTTCTGTGTTAGAGCAAGTAAGGTTAAGCCTTCCAGGATTTGTGTTTTTGTTGTTGGCTTCGATGCTCCGTGGGTTCCAAATCCTTAAAAGTGTGGCTTCGGAGGTTTGGGGCTTCGAGGCTTTAGGGATTAGGGCCTTCTTGCCATGTCAAGGCCTCAAGATTCGCGACTAGCAGTCCGGAAAACTGTGCCTGAAGAGTATTTTCAAAAATAGACACGGCTTCAACAAAAGACTCTCGTGTTGTACCGTGCTGCAGTTCTGGAATTTTTTAAAGGCCCTATAACCCTAAGCCCTAACCTCAAGAGTTCAAAAGCAGGTGCATTCCAGATGGAGATCCGGCACACCATGTGGCCGCAAGCAAGCCGGCGGTGGTTGGGCCTTGCCCGCATGGACCCAAGAAAACCTAAATCGATTGCAGCTCAGGGTTTGGGGGTTGGCCTCGTCGCTAGTTTAGAGTTTAGGGTTTAGGGTTGACTTGAGAAATGAGAAACAGCAGTGCCGCTTCTTGGGCACTTGTTGATGGCGGCGTCCGGCTTCACTGCAGTAGCACAGTTACAACGAGGAACAACAGCAATGGCGGCGCACTCCACCCAGAAGTCACTCAGCCCGAAACTCTAATCCCTATGACCCTCGATCTAGCTTGAACTACTCGACACATCACCCAGGCTGGTTCTGGACCTCAACAGACCCTACACCTTGAACCCGCAAAGACCCTCAACCCTATAAACCCCAAGCACAAAGAACGTATGCCGAAAACCCTAGGTCAGAAACCAAAGGCAAACCGGGCACCCTAAACCCTAAACCCTTTAGGGTTTGTTTTTACACTTAAAAAAAACCTTAAACCCTGAAGCTAACCGTTTCTACACCTTCTAGGAGACCTGTAGTCTTCACTGTAGTCTCTTTTTGGAGGTCACCTTTTAGGATCCCTATTCTATATTAGGTCAAGCCAAAGAAGGGGGCTACAATTCCCTAAACCCTATAAACCCTAAACCACAGGTCCTGGCAGCTTCACCGGCGACACTGTGAGTCGCTGAGTTTAGCAGAGTGCCGGTCCCGAGCCTGGAAGGGGCCTGGACGGTTTAGGGGTTCTTTTAAAGGGATCTAAGAGGGTTCTATAAAGGGATAATGGGGCTTGGGATTACTATAAAGGGGTACTATGAGGGGTTCTGTGACCTTAATCAGGGTTTAGGTTTTAGATTTCGGGTTTAGGGTTTAGGGAATAGGTCGAGTCTTGGGGTGTGCTGTTGTACCGTAGATCATTTATAAGAGATTCGGGTTTATATTAGTGCTGCAAGTACCTTTCAGTGTTCGTTACAGGCCTTTGTATCAAAGCCAACCGTTTCCGAAGAACGTAGGTGGTCAGGCGTGAATGTTTGAGAAACTAAAGCTCGTGCCTGAAAGATTGTGGTATTTAGGGTTTAATCAGAAGCCCCAAAGTAGTTCCTTTTGGGGTTCATGTATATATATATATATATATTTATATTTATATGTATACATATACAATCCTATAAGGTAATCCCAAAACGGAACTACTACCGGGCCTTTGGGTAGAACTAAGGAGGCGAAGAGTGTTTCGGGATTCGAGCAGGTAGCATCTAGGGCAGGGTGTCAGCCATTGAAAACCTGAAGCCCATGTTCTGGAATGTGCCCGCTTCAGGGCCTTAGAGACCAGTAGTGCCCAAAAACCTTAAGGGCTGAAGGGGAGATATTTGAAAATGTAAGCTTTAGCCGTCTCACACATATCTCTCTCTTTCTCTCGCTCTCTCTCTCTCTCTATCTATCTCTCTCTCTGTCTCTGTCTATCTCTCTCGCTCTATCAAGCAATATGTACATTCGAGAGTGTAAGTAACAGAATCATGCTTTGTAAGGAACCCGAAGCATTTAGGGTTTAAGCCATGGAGGGTCGCAAGCCGATCGCAACAAGACTCGTTCCGATGCGTTCCACGAAACCCCAAACCCTTAGCAAGTACCGGCATAGAAGAAGGTAATCACAGTAGGGTTTCTCACGTTGGGAAAGTTTGTTCTGGTCCGGGTGAGTGTGGTACTTTGGACCCAAATCCTAAGCCCCCCAGCCCAGATCAGATGGTCGCGCTCAACAGACTCGAAGAGTTGCTACCAAGCCCCCTCAAACCCTCAGACCCACGTCCATGCGGCACCTTGAGCCCTTTAGCCTGAACATCTTAAACATCCTACACAAGCCCGAATCGTAGGACTTAGGGTTCTGGAAACCCAAGACACTGAACCCTAAACACACCCAAACATTTTACCCAGACGATGTTCCATCACGCAGAGGCGCGAGTTCATTCGCCCCGGCCGGCCGCTAATCATCGAAGGCCTTGGGCCTCATCTGGTGTGGCTGGGCTTCATCCAGCTTCAAAGTACTATAGGGGACTAAATTAATTTCCTATATACACAATTTTGGGGATTCCTTATTTATAAATGTAGCATAATAGCTTCATCCAACTTTGAAGTAAAGTACTCCTATAGTTACCATTAGGATAGGGTTCCTTTAAAGGGGTCGATAAGGGCTAGCTACTGTAAGGGCTATTATGAGGATTTGGTATGGGGGGCCTAAATATTTGCCGAGACCATTTTTGGGATTCCCTATTGCAATTTTAGAAAAGTATACCCCGAAACCCTGTTCTAATAAGTAAGGCCCCTATATTACTGTTCGAGGGCCCTATATTACTATACTGTTCGAGGGTTCTGTGCGCAGTTAAGGCTTATTTTGTAGTTGGAAGGGTCTGGAGGAATCCAGACAGTAATTTAGACTTAAGCTGCAAAGTTTGGATGAAGACCAAATGGACTTCCCGAGCTGCAAAGCACAACCCTAGCCGTAAGCCCCAAAGACACCGATCCCTGTCCTTCGGCCCTCTTGAGTTCGGGTTTCCATGCGGGTGTCCAAAAAAAAATCTAAGTGTTTAGGTCATGTTAGGGGGGGGCAGCGTTTTGGGGTTGAAGGTTCAGGCGTCACTGCTTTGGGGGGCAAAGGCTCTAAGGTTTGCGGGTTTAGGGCATCCTTTGAAAGACTTTGCAGGCTTCCTAAACCCTAAACCCTTCACCCTTACTGCTACAGCCATCCCCCCAGTACATAGTACATGCAAAAGCGGGTGTGCGTTATCAAGCGTTGGGCTGACCGGTAGCCCCAAACCCTACTTAGGGTATGACCTCTTGATGCTGGGTTATATCCCGTGGAACAGGTTGTTGAAGGCTTCATGATCTGAATTCAGTGGTTGGACTTCTCACGACCTACTACGGGCGTTGGAACAAAGAGCAGTCGTAGTTCCTTCTAGTCCCCGTTCTACTCGCACTACGGTATCCAGAGGCCCCCATAGTAGTTCCTTTTTCGCATTACCTTATAGGATTCTATTTATGAACCCTAAGAAGGAACTACTTTGGGGCCTCTGGGTATCCCCGAAACAATGTCAAAGACTTACGGCTGTTCGGAGCCTCCACCCAAGCTACGCTCTTCGAGCTCTCCACCTTTGAGGCTTTAGAGTTTACCCAGAGGCCCCAAAGTAGTTCCTTTTTGGGGTGCATATATAAAATCCTATAAGGTAATCCCAAAAAGAAACTACTATGAGGCCTCTGGGTAGGAACTAATCGTCATGGGTCATCGCAATAAGACAATCCGCACGGTCCTGTTCGAATTACTAAGGCCCTCTGTTACACTGCGCAGTTACCGGCTTTTCTTCAGTGTCGCAACCCGACACTGCTTAGGATTCAGGGCTTTCTGCTCGGGAGAACCCGAAGGACCGAACCCTTCGGGGCTCAATAAGTAGAATAGGGTCTGTGTTTTTTTTTTTTTGGGGGGGGGGGGGTATGGAATCATAAACCCTAAACCCTATCATGTTCAACCTTTGTTTCTGTTTTAAAGGCCGTGAACCCGACGGTTTCCGCCGCGATTCCGAAGTTAAGGTCCCAAGAAAGCTGCAACTTAAGCCGAGATTGGCCAGCTCCCCAGTTGTCCTCGAGGGTTCAGGGTTTAGGGTTTAGTTTTTAGGGTTTAGTGTTTAGGGTATCGTTTAGGGTATCGTTTAGGGTTTAGGGTTTAGGGTTTTCATGGGTGTAGAGTTTGGGTTTTGGGTTTAGGCTTGAGGGGTTTAGGGAGGCCAGGGCTTAGGGTTTCGTGGACTTCAATTGCCGCGCCCTTGGTGTCTTTGTTCCATGCCGAGCAGTGTGGGACTTCAGCTCATCCGATTACTGGGGCGAGCGGGAAAACTGCAATTGTACCCAGAGGCCCCAAAGTAGTTCTTTTTTGGGATTACCTATACGAACCCCCAAAAGGAACTACTTTGGGGCCTCTGGGTAGAGATGCACCAGAGTGTTAGTAGCTGCCACTCTTTCTTGCACAAGATCTGCTGATGTTGAACGTCGTATGCAGAAGACATCGCCGTTTTCGTCGTCGTCATCATCACCATCCTGGTCATCAGGATCGTCATCGGAATCATAGTCTTTATAGTGTAGTTACAACTGCAACAAGACATGTCACCGACCTACTAGGTTACTCCGTTCCTCTGTCTTTGGCTAAACGTTGTGACAACACACACACACACACACACACCTCGAGAAGGCGGCAGTATTGGCACCTTCCAACCTGGCCAGAGCTGTGTTCTGGCTCAGGGCTTTGTGGGCTATCTGATACTTGTAAGTGGCGGCATGATGCCGCTGGGTAGCAACGTCGCCATGGCTCTCGCCCTGGCGCTGTGCCGTTGGGTGGATCCTCGTGCGGTGGCGGTTGCGGTGTTTCTCACGCTCGCACGTATGTGGAAGCGCATGCAGCGGCGACTGTATGGAGTCCACCGCATGGCTTCCGCATTCAAAACATTACTTCCGTAAGTGCAGCCAACTCCTTGCCAGGTGAAAGCCGAGGTTCCAGTAGTCGCATCCGTGACCTACCGATGCGAGGCATTCCGCATCGGTGACTATGTAACCTACCCCGACAACACCTGCGGGCACATCACGGGCATCGACGAAGATGGAGACCTCATCGTGACTACTGACCACGGCCGCAAGGCCGTCTGGTACATCAGCAAATGCAGCAAGACCCTCAGCGCGGGGGACTGAGTGCGCTATCCCTGCGGGGAAGTGGGTACCGTGGTGGAGTTCGATGAAGATGGAGATCTCTACGTGCGTAAAGGAGACGGCACCACCGGCAAGGTGGTATGCCAACAAAACCAAGAGACTCCTCAGTGTGGGAGACAAAGCGCAGTATGCCGCTTGTGGAGCAGTGGCCACAGAAATGCCGTTGACTTTGTGGAGTCCTTGGCATTCCTTCATGTTCTTGTCATGTTCAGACGAAATTTGAACACCGCCCGCAGCTAAATATTGCAGGGTTGATAGTTTTCGTGCATTTCGTTTCACCTACTTGGCATCTGTTTCACAACCGCCAGAAGCATCGCTTGCAACGCCGGTGAAAGTTGCGGGGAAGAGCGTCGCAGGGGTCACGTTACCCTCACACGTCGTTACACATGTTCCTGCGGATACCGTGCGCTCAACACTCTGTCTGGAGGAAGAACAAACTACAATCCTAAACCCAAAACTACATACAAGAAGGTCCAGAACCTCAACCCGAATCGCTGGCAAATCCTCAACCACCCGCATGCCACAACAGACTCAGAGCCCTAGAGTTCTAAATACATCCCTGTCCCTCCAGGGACCTCATAGTTAGGGCCCTAGGCCCCCCCCCCATAATAAGGTCTCTGGAGGCATAGGGTATCATTACCAATACTATGGTGGGGCTCCGCTATAGTGAAGTTGCTTTTTTTTTCTAAGCAACTTCGTGGGTCCAAAGTGCTCCTTGCTCTGGGCCTCGATCTTTCACATCTCTGGGTCGTCTAAACCCTAAACCCTAAACAAATTATATACCTCTCTAAAATCACCCTAAACCGTAAAACTACCCCTTAACCCCAAAAATTACCCTCAACTCTCAAATCACCCTAAACCGCAAAACTACCCCGAAACCCCTAAAAGTACCCTTAACCCTTCACCCTAAACCCGCGACATGCGGCTTTTCGAGGCTAAGCACCCACTTCGGCGAGAAGATGGCGACCTCCTCGGTTTAGGGGCTCGAGGTTTAGAGTTTACCTACAGTCTCCATTGTAGTTCCGTTTTGGGGTTACTTTTTAGGATCCGTAATATACAACTGGTTAAAACCAAAAAAGGGAACTACAATGGAGACTATAGGTAGAGTTTAGGGTTTAGGGTTTCGGTTCTCATAACGGAACCCTTATAGGAAGCCTTATTACGAGCCTCAAAGGAACCCGATTAATTAAGGGTATACAAGGGCTGCGTTAAGGCTCCCTCACAAGGAGGGCAAACTCGTCAAACTGTTTGTGGCTCGAGGGTTTGTCGTTTGAGGGTCTGGGAGTTAAGGAATGAGGGCCAGGGATGAGGGGTTTTGGTGATTCAGGGTTTAGGGTCAGGGGTGTGGGCTTGGGGATTAGGCTGTAGGGATAGTTCTTGCTGAAGGGCTCGTTTGGATCTAGGGGCTGGAATGTATAGTGGTTGATGCTTTCAGCCCACCTTAAACAGTACAGAACCGTTATCTGGCTTTTACAGTTTGGGTTGTGTCCTATTTGGGCGTTGAACTTGGATTTTCATTCAAAGAGGCTTTACGAAATAGTTACTCAGTGTGCCAACACAACTCCGACTGCCATCCATCCCAAAGCGCTCTCGAGATGGGCCCGGTTGGGCCTTGAGAAGCTGAAAATGTCGTCTACAGTTCCCAGGTTTAGGGTTTACGACCCTAAACCCTAAACCCTAAACCCTAACGCGCAACCCTAAACCCCGAATCGCCCTGAACCTTGAGGTTTCATGGCCGCTTGCTTCAGCCACCTTTTAGCCCTGACAGGAAGCTCGCCAAAGCCAACAGCGAAGCAAATTTATGTAAAGGAAGTCGAAGTTGCCGAACACCTATCTGAAACCATTGATTGGGGAGGAGCCGTCAACGGCAGAGTTTAGTTCAGATGTTCGTTTCTGAAATGCTTGGGCCCTAGCCCCAAATCCACATGGCAATCATGTTTTCAGGACATGTAGGGCCTTTGGGGCTGTCGGTTCATTGTGAGCAGAACTTGCCGTGCCGTACTCCGCCCGTCTCAAAAAGCGAGCCATCATCGAAGATGGGGAAGGTCTTAATGCCAGCATTACGCTTGACATCAAGACTCGGCAGACAAGTCGTAAGGCAGGTCGGAGCTACGGCCTAAACCCTCAACCCGAAACCCTAGACCCAAAACCCTAAATCCAAATCGTAAGGTAAGCCAATAGCTCTCGATGCCAGGTTGCTGTGTACCGAAACTTCTGTGATCCTGGGATGCGCAACGGCGAGGCTCCGTAACTCCTGTGAAGGTTTGCAGCTGTATATACTTATTCTGGTAGTAGCCTGGTAGTATGTCTGTAGCCGAAATCAAGGCTGCCCGTACCCGTCGAAGAGCAGTTAGTAGCACGGAAAGATCAGGCAAAGATATGTTGTGGCAAAGGGCGCGAACCTGGGCCCCCGAATTCATACCTCAGGGTTTAGGGTTTAGGGTTTGTACGGTTTTGGGCTTTAGGGAGCAATGCCCACCGCAGCTACTTCTTCGAGTCTGCTACTAGCCGTAGTGGAAGCAGCAAGACGGCTGCTGCAAGTAGTGGTAGCCGCAGCAATTGCTACAGCTTACACCTGCTACTTCTGCTGACTGCTGCTCCACAAACATACGATTGATGGCGACTTGTCAAAGGGTGGGTTTCGGGTTCAAGGGTTTGGGACCTTGATGGGATGATTGCTGAACTATTTAGGATGCAACTGAGGCAGCCACTCGGATCCCCCTCGGTGTCGGTGCCGTGCGAATGTAGCCAGCCAGCCCTGCCTTTCAACCGGCGAAGCTCAGCAATGGCAGGGGTGGTGTCAACCTCCATGTTGTTGGACACAGATCCAGACACCCCAGTTCTTGAAACCTCGGGGCCGGCACTCTGCCAAAACTGAACCTCAAACTTGTTGGAAGCAGAATTTCGCAATCCTGAGCCGTGCATGCAACAGCATCGACAGCTGGAAGAACAGCCGGACCTGTGATGAGAGTAGACATTATGGACCCACTCGAGAGGTTATCGCGTTTGCAAGAGTCATCGATGACTTGACCCAAACCGCAAACGCACCAAACACGGAGCCTTGTGCAACAGAAAAAGCCCAAACCCACACCCTAAGACAAGCCGACACTCTATCCATTGTCTTAAGAGCCACAAAGCTTACCACGCCCTAAAACCCTGGAGCCTGAAACCCCTAAAGCCCTCATGACCATCATCCTTGACTTGAAAACCCAAGTGTTACCCTAAACCCTTAAGCCCTTAAACCCTGAAGCCTTAAACCCCTAACCCTTAAAAACCCTAAAAACCCTAAAGCCCTAAACCTCCGCGGCCTCGCCGACTGAAACCCTCTAAAGGAGCCCTCAGGTGAACCCTACCTGTAGGCTCATACCCTACCCCTTGCTTCGGGCCCAAACCATAAAACTACAAAGCTACGTAGGTGTCGGTGTCCAAAAAAAGAGTAGGGTATGAGCCTCTAGGTAGCAGACCTATACTATAGAATCCCGACCCTAAGCCCTTAAAACCCGTTTTTGGCAGGACCAGGTTGATCTCATGCGCCTTTCCGAGGCACTTCGATACTTGAGTTTAGGGCTTGTTGGTTAGGGTTTAGGGCGTATAGGGTTTAGGGTTGAGGGTTTAAGCCTTCCAGCTGTTACGCGTTGTTTTTGTGATTTTGGTCTTGGGGTTTTGATGTTTGGGTCCTGAGTCTTGTCGATGAAAGCCCGTGATCATACCTGATACAAGTATGCCAGAATATCTCCTCGAGTCGTCTTCAGCCCCTTAGGGCACTAAGCGCTAAACCCACAACCCACAACCCCAAGGAATCATGTGTTTTTTTTTTCGACCGCTGGGTTCTGCTTTTGTAGGGCGTTTTGCAGAATGTGATTCGGCTCGGGGCTCACATGAGGATGAGAAGAGTTTAGGGGTCGAGGGGTTGAGGGTTTATATAGAGTTTACGATTTAAGGGTTAGTCGTGTAGGATTGTCTGTCCTTTAGGACGAGATGCTCGCGGGGCTCTCTGATGAAGAATGGTTTGAAGTGGTTGGAACGGGAACTACTTCATGACGTTAGGGCTCCTTTAGGAGTTCTGTAAGTTAAGGGCTCCTTTAGGTTCTATGTGTCCTCTTCTGGGTTTCCATGAGGTTTTGGTATTTAAGCTGCTTGCTTCTTGTCTTCCGCCAGCTCCCCTCGACATCGGAGAATTTGGGCTGGGCTTTCGACTCCCAAACCCTACAAAACCCATAAGCCGCATGGCAGAGAAAGCCTCAAACTTCCGGAGCCTTCGGCATCCCCGGAACACCACCTAAATCATCGCGAGAAGCATTCAAAAATCTCAGTTCCACCCCCCCCTTAAACTGGAGAAGGTTGTCACAATTCTTACGGTCCCTAAGCCTTAACTGCTTCAGCATACACATACATACATACATACATACAGACAGCGTATATGTATAACTTGTGATATAGGTTCTACTTCAGTACCTCGATAGTAGACATGCATAAAGTTGCCGCTTTTCTTGCACATTTTTGTAATTCATCTCTCGCTGCGCTGCGGCCTGCGGTCTGCGGAGGCACTTGCAGAGCTCCAGGGCCCTCGAAGGAAGGGCCTGCGCAGTTCTCAGAGCTCTTTCGGTGGGACCCTGGTTACCTTCATTCCTTGACTCTTTACGGCTTATAGAATATATTTCGGGCTTTTTTGATTTAAACTCCTTCTAAGGAGCATCATGGAACACAAGCTTTATACCCCTTACATCAGAGCCCAGCGTCGCTAGCAAGTTTGCACGTACATCAATGAGCACGAGGAGGCTCTCGTGGCGTATGATGCTGTATGCACAAGCACATTTATGGACTGAGTTTGTTGCACATGCTTTGTTTGATTATCACATTTGCATCTATGCCCTCTTGTGTTGATCTATTTTCGTCGACTCTTCACATATCAGGTTGGATGCCTTCAGGCCTACACAGATACACACGCGACATGCGCGCAGGTGCAGACGACGCAAACAGGAAGTCTAGAGCATGTGTCTCATGACTGTATAGTGGACAGCCCTAAACTAAACCCTAAGCCCGGTTCCTTCTTCGCTTCCTTTTCGATCATGTAGGAACCTGATTAAGAAACCCTGGGCCTATAACCCCCAATATAGTAGGATGCATATAAGGAACCCTCATACAGGCCCAAGGTTTCTTAATCAGGTTCCTACATTACCCTGCCAAAGTCAGGT